ATTCTGACATGATGTGGCACAACTTAACTAAACTCTACTTATTTGAAATAATCATAAAGATAAAGTTAATTATTATCTGGTATCAACCCCCTTTTGTAGTTTCTATTTCAATTTACAGTCACTGATGACTTCAATAGATGGCTTGTATGATAATCACTGCTTGATGCAATATTTGGCATATGAATCAAAGCTGATGTGTATCTCTATCGACTTATTGTGCCTTAAAATAAGAAATTGATTTTAAATTTCTAAACAGATGCTACCATATTTTTTTATAAGTGAAATATGTGAAGATACAGGAACATATTTTAAAGTGTAAAAGAGATCTTTCCAGCCAAGCAGTCTGTTTTAAAAAAACAAACAAAAAAAACAAACTTGGGTGATACCCGAACTGAGCAGTTTTTCTTCTGCCCTGGCTGTTTTATTTTCATAGGTAGCACCACCTACTGTTTTGGAGGCCAACTGCAGCATTTATTGTAAACACAGAACAACCTGCTATGGAGGTTAGACACAGTTTTGACTCGCATTGAATGTTCGACATTGATTTCTGACCTGGGACCAGTTTATTTCATCAGAAATTGTAAGAGTAGGGCGTGCAGGTGGTGCATTGGCTTCCTGTTAAAAGGGACTTTTTCCTCTCCACTGTCGCTAAAAGCATGCTTAGTGTGAGGGATTACATTTGAGTCAATGAGTCGATGCAATCAACTGGTTTTCCTTAGATAGAAAACTTTGAATCAATTTGACTGTATGATCTGGTGAACTGTAAAGTACCTTGAGATGACGTGTGGTGAATTGGCGCTATAGAAATAAACTGAATTGAATTGGTTAGAGAGTATGGTCAATGTTCCATTCTATATCAGGCTAGGGCAGCATGTCCTCCGTCCTAATCAGTGTGATTGTATCCAACTTTATTCTGAAAAACCATAACATTATATTGCACAGCATTGTGGTTTTGTGGTGAATTATATCCTTTCTATTCTGCTTGTTGGTCTTGTGTCTGTAATTTGACAGGGTGTGTTGAGATACACAATCTGGTGCTTGAAGGAGAGATTTGAAAGCAGTCAGACAGGAAAATCTCTAGTCTACAGTTTTTGGATGTAAAGTTACTTAACATTTGTCCTCAGTCCCGATAAACCCATCTTTTCTCTCTTTTGCATCCATTGTTCTACTGACTCCTTCTTCTACATTTTTTCTTCTTCTTCTTGTTGTGTTTATTGGCGGTTGGCAACAAACTTAATAGTAGCATTACCGCCACTTACTGGTATGGAGTGTGGCTCTCGTTGGTCTAACGCTCTTTTTTCTACATTTTTTGCTTCTGTGGCAGTGTTAAGAGCACCACCCTCTGGCCTGGCATAAGTATTGCAACGCCTTTTACTGCTCCTCTGGCTTCATGCGTTTTCATCTTTTCACTCAAACTTTTCAGTGTGGAAAGTCTTTTCGACTCCATGTGGACATAAGCAAGAATTGAATAACTGCATTTCACTGGGACTTTAGAGGAGATGGCTAAATGTGTTTAAATAGTGAAATGGTTTGATCTGATGTGCTCTTGGTGCCTTCATTTTGTAAAAAAGCCGAAAGTAAATCTGCATATTTTTATATAGAGCAAATCTGTACGTATATGAGCTATAGGTCATACTATAATAATTTTTTTATATTCTTTCTAAACAGCTGCGTTTGCTTTAAATATCTTTTTATATTTGTCTTGGTGCGTATCATATGGAGTTTAATTGCAGTAATTGCTGACCCGATGAGGCTGTTTGGATCAGTGTTATCAGTGTTACTGCATGCATGTGCCTCTATATGGATGTTTTTCTTTTTGGCATCTAACGTGAAGCCCAGATATATTTCTTGGCTGCCTGACTGTCAGACTGAAAGCGTGGGAGGCGATATTCATAGAGGTGCTTTTAGTGGGACTTTTATGAGAGACTTTTTTCCATGGCTGAAAGGAGGTTGACCACACACACACACACACAGCAAGGTTGCACGGGCTCAGCAAACACCCCCGCGTGTTTGTGTGTGCACATGCTCGGCTCTCTTCCTTCGAGCACGCCTGCGTAGGGGCTGCCAGGGGTGTGTTCTGCTTCATGTTTTGTTTCGGAGAGCCCTCCTCTGTGCTACGGAAGTGTTGCCGGAAGCAGTGGGAGCTCACCCCCGGTTCTGCGTCAGTGCCACTAAAGAAAGGATTGGGGCTTTCCGGGAGGAGGGAGGAAGGGATGGGGGCTGTCAGCCTGGGTATGTCACGGCCATGTGGGTGGTTGTCTATGCGCGCACTCATAGGCGCAGTCACGACAACTCTTAGAAAAGCTATTCTTGTATCCACTGCATCGCATGCTTGCTTTAAGTAAACCGCCTGCTTTGGAGGGGAATTACAGGTGTCTGAGAGAGTTTGCACACTTTTACATGTGCTGATGTTCAGTTTAAAGTTTGCGTATATTTTTTTATTGTTTTTCTTAAGCTGTGAGGGAGATTTGGTCCTGACCAAAAGGGCTAATTTGCTCCAAAGTCGTGTTTTTTTCCTGTTTGCCTCCTTTGTCATCCTGTTTGGGCCCCAGCACTAAATTCCTACACCCTGATTATGTGAGGAAGGACCTGTGGTATCACAAAGTAAAACCAGTATCCTTAGACGCTGGAGCACAGCTTGCAAAAATCCCCAGAAGGAGAAAAAAAAAAGTAAGAAAAAAAAAATCTCTTTCCTGGCAAGACAGAAAAAGGAAAGCAATGTGCAGAAGCCTGTGGCCTGCACATCCTAAGGGATGTTTTCATCTTTCTCTGCTCCCCCAACTTGTTTTAATGTCTGCCATTTGAGCTACTCCAGAGGGGCTGCACCTGTTTGCCTCTCGGCTAGGAGCCCCCCGTATCCCTCCTCCTGCCCCCGCCTGCCACTCAAGCTACTGCACCTCCTGGGAAGGATGGATGGAGCGAGGAAGGAGTGGAGGAGTGTGGGGTTGCGTGTGGTGGAAGGGATAGCTGCAGGGCTTGAAGGCGTCCGGGAGCCAGAGCAGAGATGTAGGCACAGAGAGTGAAAGAGAATAGTTTCCAATCCAAGTCCAGTCTCCCACACTGGACAAGGCGCTCCTACTTTGGAGTGTTCTCTCTTTAATGTTCGACCCTCCACATTCTCCTTTATTGCTGTATTTTCTCTCATCTTCTCTCTCCTCCCGTACAAACCCACATCTGCTCGCCTTCTCTCCCGTGTTAGCTTGTCCTTTCAGCCTATTGTTCCTTTGCTCTTCTCCAATTTCTGACTCATTCTTCTTTACTCCCAGCATCTCCCACTCCTCGGAGCTAAGTTTTTCCTCTGCTCCCCTTTCTGCCCCTGTTCGTCTTTTTCTTCTCCCTGATGGCACTACGTAATCTGCAGTGACCTCTTTAGGTCACATTAAAGGTCAACCAGCTTTACTCTTGCACTCCCCTGGGGCCACACTCGTATAGATGCCTTTTCTCTAATTCTGGCAGCTGTGATCAAAACACTCTGCGTATGATTCAGCTGATTTGATTCAAAATACAAAATACTGATTTCAAACCATGTATTTTAAAGTTATGTTTAATCATGGATACATTTATGTGACCTGATTTAGAGAAAACAAAAACACAATATCAGTTGTGCAAAGAAACAGAAAGAAAATGCTCTTGTTCTGCAATACAACTAAATAAAACCAAAATGCAGCTTAGTTGATGTTGCTCTTTATTTTCTTTATAAGATTGTAAATAAACTGAATAAAACTGGAGTTTAACTGTTCTTATGTGATAAACTCTGTGTGAATGCTTATCATTTTGTACTTTGGAGATTGTGGTTAATATGCAGCCATGCTTTTTGCATGGGTAAAATAGAGGACTTTTTGTACCGACTATTTGTCAACTGGTACGTTTCGTACCCACTTTGACAACCGGTTGTTTAACGTCATTTTAAATCACCGTAATGATTTGCCCATGGTGAACTGTTTAGAAATTAGGTTTTGTTGCTCCAGTAAATAAAATCTGCCAACAGGAGTTTTTTTTTGGAGTTATTTCGGTTCAATCTGGGTTCATCATCTGTTACATTTTAATAAGATCCGACTGGCTCTAACGTAGATCCTGACCAAAAACAATAGAAAATCCTCAAAAACTGAATTACAGCTCGATTAAATTATCCCTGAGATGCGACCATTTTTATTGTTTATCTCCAGAGTTCATCAGAAATATGAAACTACCAGGAAAAATAAAGATTTATATTTCTTAAAATTTAAAAACTGCATCAATACAAAAGGCCAGCTTTAATATTTCTCAAAACAATTTAAAAACCAGCCTAAAGTAATTATCTTTGTAGGAGATTTATATATATATTTCTGTATATAATATATATGTTTTTTTTAAGACTTTAATTTAACTGATGCATTAAATTAGAACAATTAAATTGTATTTTACCTGGGAGGGTGGGGAGGATGATTGGGGGACATATTCTGTCATTTTTACCACCTAAATGGAATCAAAACCTGCAAAAAACTAAAACTGAAAAATATAAAATCTTCTGGAATATTATATAATTAGATAAAGCTGTATTTGAGTTTAGAGATTTTTTTTCTTATTGTTGGTAATTATTTCTTGGTAAAGAAAAATGTAACTACTAATAAGAATAATTCAATATGTGATGGTTATGCCCAAATATATCAAGTTGAAATGAGGGTTTGGAGTCTCTAAGTCAACAAGGGTCATAAGTATTTCCAGCTGAGTTAAATTGCTGTTAAGCAAACCTTTTAGTTATTATTTTTTAATTTTACACTGCTTTGAACTGTTTTTCATATTAAATATTCTCTAAATGTTCCCTATAAAAGATCCAGTTCCATATTTTGATATAATCATTAATTATTAGCTCAAAATAAAATATTGTGAACCTCATTTTGTTTGTATATTTGAAAAACACACATTTCTTGTTTATAAATATGCTTAAAAAAAACAGTTTCCCAGGTGGTTACGAGTCGTCTGAATGATCTCGCTAAGCTTTCTTCTGGTGTGGTTTGCAGAACCGCGGGCGCTTGGCAGAGAAACGCACCATTCCTCTTCCACCCAACCGGGTTCCCAAGAAGGAACTGGCCTCCATTTTTAGCAGTGACGACAGCGAAGGTAGCGAGCGGGCCAGTGGGGATCATGCCCACATCAAGCAGGAGGAAGATCTGCATTACAGTATCATGAGAAAAAGGTAAGACACCACTAGATTCAAAGGCCATGAACTGTGAACAGGATTTTTTGTAATGCAAATTTGCAGCTGTGTTTTTGAAGAGCCTTCAACTTGTGCAATTTTGATTTGTTTATTTTATCAATTAATATGTAGAAAATGTGTGATGTGACTTTTTATATAAACAATTTGCCTTTCATGGCCTGGTTTATGTGTAAGCAGAATTATTGCCTCAAAGACTGATGCCCCATTCGAACTGATGGACCCTGATGCTGATCTGAAAGTTCAAGAAAATATTTGCTTTAATTGAGTCACAGTCTGATGCTTCATTTCATCAGTATAACACGATGTGTTGCAACCAGTTGGATCCTGAATAATTCAAAACTAATTTTATTGACCACCATGTCGGTCCTTCCTGAAAGGGACAGCTGTGTGCACATCCAACCAAAAGATAATAATAAAAGAACTAAGATAATGTTTTAGCAATGCATAACTTTAGCCTTTATTTTTTAAGATATTTCTGACTAAAGGTACAGCTAAAATAAGTTTAAGTTACTGTCCAAAGGACATTAACGCTTTGCTTTGAATGAGCTCCAGCATCTAATACAGTATATTTCACTGTCATTATAATCAGTAAAAAACACTTTGATTTGTTCAGGAAAATCTATATTCCCTATATAAAAAAATTAAATGTGGTTTTGTAATTTAGTTTTGCATGGCAAACATACAAAACTAGGTCCAGAGTTTTAAAAAGTGGCAACTCAATGTAGTGGTCTGGTTTGTCAGGGATCCGGCTGATGTAATCACTGATAGTAGAACTAAGGGAAGATGAAAACTTAGGTGATAAACGCATATTTAATCCCAGAGGGGTTTGGTGTTTTGACCAGCAGTCATTTCATGGTCATTTAACAATTGAGATGGCTCAATTTCAGACAGAGATGCTAAATTTGGACACTTGGAGCATTTAGGCTGATCTATTTGTTTGTGCTGCTGCTTTTCAGGTAGAATCTCTGCTGCCTGCTTTATCCATGCTTTAAATTGATGGGGAGCAGATTGATTGGAGGGCATGGATTAGGGTGGCATGGGTTTTTTTCTTCTGCTTTTATCTATTTTACTAGCTGTAAGCATTGCGGGTAAAAGAAAAGAGAAAATCCCACATTAATCAAACAAATGTTTGAGGTGTAAGTCCCATTCGGTCCAAATGAATGCAGTCATACTTTTTTTTTTGCTCTTATTTTAAATATTTCCAGTTACCCGGTTATTATACGGATTTTCCACTCAGTTAGCATTTTTGTAAATCTTTTTGTATGATATAATTGGCATTCAAAATGCTGAATCGGTTCGTTGATGGACGTAGAAAGTCCCTGGTTGCATCAGAAACGTCTTGTTAAACCTCGTTAAAGCGGGGGATGTTTTTCTTGTCTTGAGGCTTCCGTGTGACGCAGCGGACAGCACAGCAACTGTGAACCTTTAAATGGATCCACTAACCTCGTTTAAGAGGGCCTCCCCTCCCCCTGACACTTGTGCCGCTGGCGTGTTAAGATGATAATGAATTTAAAGAACACTTATGACTAATATATCAGGTTTTTACCCTTTTGAAAGGCGGCGGACACGCTGGAGCCGCAGCTCCGGTCTGTCGTTGGCATCTGTCTGGGCTAGGCTTTATGCCTCCGACGTGGGTCTGGACAAACAGGATAATGGGATGTCCAATCATGAAAATGTGATTTCCATTGACCGCAACTCCGTAAGTGAGTCGTAGAAGGGTCTTAACAAATTGGATTTGGTCAATGGATGTGAAAAATACAGGGCCTCTGTGTACATGTGTCAGTGTGTCTGTACTGTCTCTTCCTCACGTCATCGGGGCTGACAGGAGGTCTGTCACACCCACTCAGCTGTAACAACTTGTCTACTGTAACTGTACTCTAATACATTCATCAGATGTGTCATGGCAATTTTCCCTAAGTTTCTGTTCCCGACTGAGCAGTTGATCTTCTGAGCTGCTTTAGAGCTCTCACTCTCCTCCAGTTTTTTGTAAAGTTAGAAATTGCAGTGCAGTTTTTTTGTCCTGTAAAGAGGAGTCTGGTTTATTATAAATAATGTGCAGTAAACATTTGGAAGGGAAATATTTAGTAAGATTAAACTAAATGTAAACTTTTTATGGCCAACATGCTGAATCGTCATGCTGCATTCTGTGAATCTATGCCCACTGAGAAAGCATGGTGGTGGCAGCATTATGCTTCTACGTTTATTTTAAAAAACAAAGACTCTGGAATTAATTAACTGATATATGGAGCTAATTACAGGCTAATATTAAAAAATATGCTGTTAGAGGTTCGAGAAGACCTAAGATCTTGGAAATTCGATTTCCAGCAGGAAAATAACCACAAACATAGAGCTGGAGGTAGTGAAAGGTTTAGATCGAAGCATATCGAGCAGATAAGCCCAGTTAAAGTATCAAGAATCTGTGGTAAGGATTGAAATTTTAGGTTTAAGCTGACTTTGTCTGAACTTTTATAAAAAACATTTCAGTCAACAGGCGATTTTTTGCTGTAGTTATTGTGTAAAGGGAGTTCCACAAAGTATTGACTCTTTGGGGCTAGAAACAATCGCATGCATTTTGTATTTAGCTTTTAGTTGGAAGATAAAATTTAGGCTAAAATTGTCCTTCAGCTTCATGGATATTTACTACTGTTTTAGATGTCCCACAGACATGTCCAATTAAAACTACTGAAGTTGAAACGGGCGAAGTTGTATGAATACTTCATCAAGCACAGTTCCTCTGGAGGGGAGGTGGATATGTAATTTCTGGGAACAATAAAACTAAAGGGGAACTTTGTCCTTGCTTTATGTTCTGTGCTACAGGCTTATTTAGTCTTTATCTGTATTACAGATGCATATCAATTTCAGAATTTATTTAAAAAAGTCCTGGTGTAGAATCACCTTAGTCCAAAGATACACTGACTTTTAAGTTCAAAACATAGGTAACAGTCTTTGCTGATTGTAGAAGTGTTATGATGACATCTCACTTCCTCCTAATCACTAAAGTTCAGTTTGGGTAATGATTTGGAAACTGCTGATGATACCTACCTTTCAGGATGCACCCTAAAAAATATCCAACACACATGTTGATGAATACCAAACATCAGCCCATATTTTTTTTTAAAGGAAAATTTAATTAACCGAAAGATAATACATAAAATAAACTAGATTAGGAACAATACTTCTTTGTTATTACGCATCTAAATTTCAATTGCAAGAGAGCATGGATCATTCCTCCCTCCCTGCAGAAGATAAGATCTTTCCATGGAGAAGCATTGGCTCTTACTCCCTAAGAAAACAAAATCTCATTTTTCATAGAATAGCAAGCATTTCTCTGTCTGAGTGCTTTGACATTTTGTCCTCCTGGATTTATCGAACAACTGTGTCATTACCTTATGCCAGTTGGGGGTCATGGACAGTGTGATATTACTGGAAATGGCTCTACCCCCAAAGCGCTAATTAGAGAGCTCGGGGGTTTTATAGCTTTTTAGCGGAGCTTTCCACTAGAAAACATGTTTGTCTTGTTTGCGTGCATTTACCATGGAAACACAGTCAGTACATCGTAGCTGCTTCTCATGTGTTGGCTACCAGCAAAACATTCATTATTTTCACACGTAACTGTATTGTTTCTTTATACATGTTTACTGGGAAAAGATATCTGGAGCTCAAAGCTTAAGGTTTATCACCTTCAGCTGTGGCGTTTGCAGGTCTTACACATTATGTCCCCTTAAAGTGTTTAGGAAATCCGCTTCAGCTGAGAGTTTTGTGGAAGCATGAATGAAATGCTCTAAATGTTGCTTCAGAAATAAACATCTCTTAATATTAGTTGAACATTATTAAAAAAGAAGCTAATAAAGAATGTAAGAATGCAGAACTTCTGTTCGACACAGCAGCATTGCAGTTCGCTCTGTTTCAACGTATATTTCTTTCCTCCCCCTCTCTTGTCTCATTTATTGACCTCATGTCAGCTTGTACAGCTGGTATAAGGGAAGCTAGACTACTCTTACTCATTTATGTATCTACACCTGTATTTATTCATTACCTTGTCTTCCCACAGTTGGAAGTTAAGGATTCAGTGCTGAGGAGTTGTGACAGTTGTGTACGCTTTCACTAACAGGAACCAGAAGAACTTTCCAAAAGAAATGGAACACGTCCTGCTTTAGACACCTTGTTGTGTTATTGTTTAGCTCTGCTGTGAATTAAGCTACGCCCAAGCCTCTCTGCACTTCTCTCGTTGAATATTGCATCTTGCATGGCTGTATTTGATTGTTGCTGCAGGCCACCTGCACAGGTTGGAGCAGCCTGTATGCACCAGATGTTATGCAGCACTCACACCCCGTTTCTCTGTTTCCTTCGTTTCCCTTTCTCCGTGCACACCCTCATATCCCCGCTGTCTGACTGTCAGCGCCTTCCCAGTGTTGGTGTGAGACATGGCGTCAGGGTGCTGGGCTGCCAGCTTCTGCCAGCTCACAGTGTGACCTCCAACTCTGCTGCATCAGCTTCATGTGCCAATGCCACAGTGGGGCACTTCTGTGCATTTATAGTGAGACGACTCCTAGTGTGAGCGGAAGAGTCTTTTCATGTTGCTTTAGCTGGTTCAAACTGCTGTGAGTGCTTTAGTGTAGGAAGGCAAATCCATTTATAGGAAAAGGTTTTGCTTCAGTGTTTGCCTTTTTTTGTTCTATTTTCTCTTGCATTGCCAAAAGCCTTTAAACAACTTTAATGTCCAAAATTGAACTAGTCTTCTTAACTTCTTGACTTCTTAACAAACTACATGTATACGTCTGCTAATAAAAAACAGATTTCTCTGCATAACTGAGTTGATATTTATTGACCCATTGAACAAGGAGACTCTAACTGCTTAATAAAGTAATAAACAGTTATATTTTATAAAATAATTAATGTAACTATAGGCTGAGAAGGACATTTAGCCTCAGTTCTCATAAACTGTCTTCAGAATAGTAAATGAAGCTGGTTAAATATTT